CAGTAAAACCAAGAGGTTGAAGGTGAGAAAGCTAAGCCAGAGAATTAGAAAAATGACAAAATAAAAACATACATAGCTAAAAAGGACAAAAATAGGCAAACTAAGGAAATTTAGAATATTTTGCCAGGACAATAGTATGGAAATATATACATAGGTGTCATGTGTGATTATCTTTAGGTGAGTGGGAGTATGATTTTTTAAAATTATTCGTTTTGCTTGTTTGTAATATGTGCTTTCTCTGATATGGTCTTATATTGTATATGTAATAAAAAATTATAAGACAAACTGCCCATGAGATACGCGAAATTAAAATAAGCAGACAATGAAGAAGCAAAAGGTAGTTGGATGAATCTGGCAAAAACTAAAACAAAGAAAGCAGAGAAAATAAATATTCCACAAAAGAGTACAAACCAGAAATTAATTAAAAGAATAAAAAAATGTACTAACACATATAAATATTTACAAGATTTCAGAGGCTAAGGGATTTTTAAAAATTAAAACGCCTAAGGAATGTTCTTTTTTAGGGGCTAAACCAGGGCTCCCCCTCAGGTTGAGGTCCCCACACGTCCTTAGGGAGGAGGGCCAAGGACAAAGAGTGAATCTCTGACCTCTCCAGCTCACCTCACATTAAGGGTCCTGCCTCCTGAGTCCCTCTTTAAGTGTCCAGCAAGTGTGTGGCAGAATTGAAATTCCCTCACTCCGTACCCAAGTGGTAAAGTGATCAGGAGGGAAGGCACACGGACCGTTTCTGAAACATGCCTTGAACATGGCCGTTAGGAGATTGCTGTCTTTCTTCATCGTCTCGGCAACTGTGCACACTCCCAGAGAAGAAAGAGGATGAATTTGTACTGGGCATCTACCCTGGGTTGGGAATCATCTGTTCTGCAGGAAGCATATTACTGGGCTCTTTCTTTTGGTCTTGACCATGTCTTATAAGGTAAATATTTTAATGCCAGTTTTGAGACTGAGGAATCAGAGGTATATAATTTGCTCAAAGCTACATCCAGCGGTGGAAGCCGAACTCTAAGATCCTTGGAGCTTCTACCGTGCCACGCTGAGAAAATACTCTTAAGCAGAGCTATTCCAAGCTCCCTTCTAGAGTAAAGAGGAAGCCTGTGACATCGGAGGCTTTTCAAGGAAACCAAGCCAGGACATATGGGGTCAGAACACACCTGCCTGGCGGTCCTGGTGAGCATGAGGGCCAGGCTGACAGGGGCCGTGACCCTGCTCTTTGCCTGCCAGAGAGGAGCAGGGCCTCTGGTAGTGAGTAGCAGAGAGCCTACAAGTCCGGTTGGCAGTGGTTCTGAAAGGGTGGCCTTCAGACCAGCAGCACTGGCATTACCTGTGAGCCTGTCAGAGAAGAGCAGAGCCTCAAGTCCCACGCTGACCTACTGAACCGAGTCTCTGGGGATGGGCAGAGGAGACTGAGCAAGCTCTTCAGGTGATTTTCAAGCACAATAAGGTTTGCGAACCCTTGCTGTAGGGGGACCAAGGAGTTGGACGGGAGATTTGGGGGCAGAATAAGGGAGCTCTGATATAGTGGGGCAGGGGATGGTAGGTAGATGAGACTCTGAGCTCATCAACTGTATCAGAAATGAGGTTGTGGTGGGCAGAATAAGAAACAGGTGCAGGGGTGATGGGGGCAGGTGTGGGGGTGGGAAATAGCCTGTGGTCAACACATGTTTGACCCTAACTCAGTCGCCAACAGCAATCCCTGTCCTGAACCTCACTTCAGGCCTAGGTGATGGTAGGGCTGTTGCCACCCTTCCCACGGGATAGTTGGAAGGTTGCAAAGCAAATTAATATAAGTGTTTATGGCCGACATATAGTCAGCGCTCAAAAAACAGTACTTGAATTTGGATTTAAAAAGGGCGCTGAGTGGATGGGGAAAGGGTTGGGGGGCAGCAGTCCCTTTCACTCTCGTGGTGACCCTGTCCCGCTCAGGCATCTCTTGCGGTGGAAACGTTTCCCTCTGGCATCCAGACAGCCTGAAGTTACCTGGAAAGGTAAGTTCTCAACTTGAACGTATTTGAACAGTGAAGCAAATATTTTGCCTGTTTTCTGTGGAAGCAAAGGCTAAGTACATCCCTCAAAAGACAAAAGGGATAGGTTTTCTCCAAGTAATAAATTTTGTGCAGCACGGGGGAGCCATGTGGCCTGAAGAAGGGCATCAGGCACTCTGAGAGGAAGACCCGGGGCGGAATCAGTCCTGGTCTGCAACCCAGCTGGGCAGCCTCAGCGGGCGAATTGTAGGCTCTTCATTTCCAAAGGGGGGTAACTCTCCACCTCCGGGTATTGCGAGGATTGGAGAAAACAGCCCGGACGGTGCTGGGCACTGCCAGCCGGTAAGAACTGCTTTCTGAATCTCAATTCTATACCTCGCCTTTGCCCTGACAAGAGCCCGGGAAGCTCCTCTGCGGCTGCCCTTGCACAATCCGACCTTGGCAGGGTTTGCTAACCTGGGATCTTTGGGGAAGCCGTATCTGTAATGACGCCGACTGATCAGCTTCCGTGGGCAACGTAAGCTGTTGTGGGCACCGTCTCTTTCTCCTGCCTCTTCCGGAGTCAGGGCAGCCCTGCCGCTTTCTACTCTCTTGTGTTTGGAGACCTTCCAGCTGGGAACGGGGTCTCTTTCTGGCCGAAGTGAACGAGACTAAGACAAGAAGCAGTTGGGAAACAGCATCATTTCATGGGCACTGATTTTATGGTAAGGCCGGGGGGTTGTGGGGGATGACTGCAAATAAGGGACATTTTTAGTTTCATTAATAGTCTCCTCTAGAGGCTCGGGGAGAAAGAAAGAAAAATCAAACACTCCTTCTGCTCTCTTGCCCCAGGCTCCATAATTTGCCTTTTACTTTCTGCATTTTCATATTGGAGTTTGAAAAGCAGAGGACCCAAACAATCAGCAACAGATGTCCTCATGTAATCTGCACGGTACATGACTTCAGTTAGCATGCAAATTGTCATCCTAGGGTGGTTCCAGGGGACTGCTGAAAAGACAGCAGGCCTGCTTTGCAAAGATAGAGAGGGGGCATGATTAAAATGTCTGGCTCCAATCCTATGTTTAATTACGATCCCTTTTTTATCTCAACTGCGATGACTGGTAGCTATTATGACACAATATTGAAAATGTGTATGACGCATGGAGGCTGAGAGGTGGTCTGTGTCTGATCAAAATGATCAAAGCTCCTTGCCATGGAGAGCCCCCTCTCCTGCCTCGTCTGATCCACTTAGACGAGCAAAATATGATTTGTAGGAGGCAGTTTATGTGATTTTCATTACCCAAGAGCAGGGGCATCATTTTTGCACCACGGTTTCCCCTAGAAACGATGGGAGCTTGACAATTGCTTATAAACGCACAGTAACACACCCTGCTCCATGGCGGTCTACAAGGCCTCTCTCAGGCTTCAGCTCTAATTTACTCTATGTTCAAACACTATTGGGGCGCCTGGGTGGCTCAGTGGGTTAAGCCTCTGCCTTCGGCTCCGGTCGTGATCTCAGGGTCCTGGGATCGAGCCCCGCATCGGGCTCTCTGCTCAACGGGGGGAGCCTGCTCCCCATCCCCCCCCACCGCCCCGGCCTCTCTGCCTACTTGTGATCTCTCTTTTTCTGTCAAATAAATAAGTAAAATCTTAAAACAACAACAACAACAACAAAACACTGTTGAATTGTATTATTGGTGTAATCAGAAAAAGACCAAAAACCAAAAACCGATCTTAAGAGCTCAGAGAGGAGAAAGTCTTCATTATTTCAGTGTATTCGACCATCCAGCTTGTCCTTTGTCCCCCAAAGTTAGTTTTGGTAAAACTAAAAGTGATTTTTTTTTTCACAAGATGATAGGAAGTTTTACTACTCGGTTGAGATGAAGACTGAGTTTCACTACGTAAACTCGTGGAAGGGGTATCAGTAGAGAAAGCTGCTGTGTCCCTTCTAAGAACGATGCATATTGTTTGTTTTGCTTCTGTGGTTTTGTCCTGTAGCCGAAACTCTGGAAGGCGGAGAAAGAGCTAAGACTAACGTGATCAGCGTGCCTCATCATGGGTATTTTATTTTATTTTATTATTTTAGTTTATTTTTTTTCTTTCGGGTCCCCGTTGAGCAGGGAGCCTGATGTGGGGCCCGATTCCAGGAGCCCGAGACCAGGACCCGAGCTGCCCAGGTGCCCTTCTTCATGGGTATTTTAAACACGTAACCAGCGTTACGGGGAGAGCTACGTTTGCTAATGCCTGGACGAAAAAGATCTCATTCAGGCTCAATTTTATCAGACAAAATTCTTGCACACATTTCATAGCTGGATAGAAGTATAGTTTTCACGTCTCAAAGACTTTTGGTGAGGACTTCATACAAAATTTGGGTTGTGGTTTCACATATACTTCTCTCTTTTGGACGTGTCCTGCCTACCTTGTTTTTTAACCTTGATTATTGTATAAAGAAAACAAAAATATTCTCAACTAGCAATAAGAAATTGAATCAAGTATTTATTTATTGTGCGGCTGTCCGCCACTCAGCACTACGCTGGGGGTCGCGTGGGGGCTCCAGCTGAAGTGTTAAGGCTTGAATCCCGTCCTAAAGGACTTGACAGCTTAGTGCAAGTTCTACAGTGAGTCCTATCTAAGAAGCTAAGATAAAGGGATGGATGGGAAGATAGAGAGATTGGGTGTTGGAGACAGAGGGAGGAAAAAATGTGAGCAGAGAAAATGAAATGGCTAGAGTCCTCTAATCCTTTATCAGCTCTGTCCTGCTAATACAGGTTCCCAAGGAAAGGGAGGGAAGGAACATTCCATGGAAGAGCACACAGTTTTTTACCATAAGGGCTTGGCTGCAGACGGTTTTGTTGAAATCCCAGCCATGATTGGCTGAGATGCACCCTGGTTGAATCACAAACACTGCTTTTGGATCTGTGACCTAACGTTTACCCTAAAGACAGGCTGAATGACCTATTGAGCTCTTCCCTTAGTGCAGTCCTTTGGATGCTATACCAACAACTAACTTTTATTGAGTTCTTGTGGTATGCAGTGCATTGTAGGGATGCCATAATGGGTGTTTTCTCAGTTAGTTCTCACAGAACTCTTCTTTGAGGTAAATACCATTTCTCCCCCCAGTGGTTTAGGGGAAGCAAGTGAAACACAGAGAAACTAAGTGACTTACCCATGGTAAGGGCTCAAGTAGTCAACATTCAGAACCTGTTTGTTTAACTAGCAATAAGAAATATTGAATTATCAAAGTGTAGACATGGTGAAAAGATAAACTCACAGAGAGATGGAAAAAATTCACAGGAGAAAAAGATGATGTTTACCCAATACAGTCTTACCATATTCCTGTCCCTGAAACTCCATGCATTACTCCAATGAACAAGGGTGCCTGACTGGCTTAGTTGGGAAAGCATAAGACTCTTGATCGTGGGGTCTCGAGTCCAAGCCTCACATTGGGTGTTGTGCTTACTTAAAAAAAATGACAACGAACCAGTTTTAGTCCAGTCTCTGCTTGCACCCAATCTCACTCTCCTCTTTGGGAGAAGGATAGAGATGGGGTGTGTGTGTGTGTGTGTGTGAGAGATGCCCTTTGCTGCAAAGTGTGAACTGTTAGGATAGGATAAAAGGTTGAAGTTTGACAATCTGGAGCTGAGCTTAAGTTGGTCTTTGAAGAATGAGGAGAAACTGAATAGGCAGTCGGGAAAGGGAGGACACACTCAATTTGTGGAGGCAGGCATCTAGAAGGACGGATGGAGCAGTGTGAATGAAATGGAGGGGCTCTCAGATAACCCCACAGTGGGACAGATACCGGGATTGCCAAGGCAACAGAAGGGAGTCTCCAGAATTTCTACAGGTTGTTCCCAAGCTTGTCCTGGTGTCCCAAGAATCCTCCAGCATTGCTGCTGGGCAGAAGTAGGTCATAAGGAAGACCTAAAAAAAGACAATCAGCAAAAATAGTTGGAAGGAGCTAGCGGGAATGTCTGGATCACCACAGCTGCATCAACGTGTTAAAAAATACCAGCCGCTTGTATTTCCTAAGAAATATCTTTGTGTTTCATCCCTTGCTTCTCCTGGTGCAGTGGTGGGAATGGCCACTAAATGTCACTGCTGTAGGAGGGTCAGAGCCCCTTGTGCATTCGGAAGGACGAGATCCAGACCCCCAGAGCTGGCTACATGTATGCAGTGACTCTGATGCGCTCTCCAAACTCAGCTACCTCATGATTAAGAGAAAGACTTGAATTTCCTGGTGTTTTATACTTTATTAGTGTGCTGCCCGTGTGTGTGGTCGGTATGAGGAGATTACCCCACCATGAGTCGGACTGAATTTTGCATTGTTTTGTAGGGCTGAAAATCTGCTCTTCTCCTCCCCAGCCAACCCCCATGTGCCCATTCTCTCTCCTGCCCATCGACCTTGGCTGTGAATTTAGGCTCAGGGCGATTCTGTGACTCTGTACTTTTCACAAGTCCATTAGCAACACAACCCATGTGACTCTTCCAGGCATAACGAGAAACACACCTTTTCACATCAAGGTTCATCTAGAACCTTTTCCAAAAGGAAGTCTGAATATTTTCTTGGGTGAAGTAACTCACAAAGCATTTAATTTAGTGCACATTTTTAAAACGCTAACATACTGAAAAGTCAAACTGGGTAATAAAAGAAATTTATTCTCTTCCTGTTCTGGAGGAGAGAAGTCTGAAATCAAAATGTTTCTAGGGCCATGCTCCCTCCAATGGCTCCAGGAAGAATTCTTCCTTGCCTCTTACAGTTTCTGGTGGCTCCAGGCAATCCTGGCTTGTGGCCACATGACTCTGATCTCTGCCTTGTCTTCACATGGGCTTGTGTGTGTGTGTGTGTGTGTGTGTGTGTGTGTGTGTTTCTATCTCTCATAAGGACACTTGTCATTGGATTTAAGGCCCACTTGGATAACCCAGGATGATCTCATCTCAAGGTCCTTAATATAATTATAGCTGCAAAGACCCTTTTCCCAAATAATGTCACATTCACAGTTTCCAGGGGTACAACATGAACATATCTTTTGGGGGGGGCACCATTCAATCCATTACAAACATTTTCCCTAAATAGGCTACCTTGAAGAAAGACTAAGTTAGCAACTGTAAGATATAACAAATTTTTAAATACACTAGTAATTTTTAAGACTTTAAATGGTTTAGGAATATTCCTGGTCAGAGACTAGGAAAGATGTTGGCATTTCCCTACATTAAAAAACCCTGGGTTTGAGACCTAGTCCACTATTTACAAGTTGCAGGCTGGTCTGTCCTCTGACCCAGCCTCAGCTTCTTCCTCTGCCATAGGAGCTGATCACTTTGGATGTTAGGAGGATAAAATGCCATGTGACTCACTGTGCAGACTGAGGAGTAGTTGGCAGACAAAGACAGGGGGGTTTGATGCTGTTAAAGGGATGTGAAAACTTGCAAAGTAGGTCACTTTTGGGGGACATTCTACCAAGAGGCTTCTTTTTTTAAGATTTTATTTATTTATTTGAGAGAGAGAGAGAGAGAGCACGAGCAGGGGGTGTGGCAAAAGGAAAGGGAGCAGCAGACTCCCCTAGGGAGCACAACATGGGCCTTGATCCCAGGACCCTGAGATCATGACCTGAGCCAAAGGCAGATGCTTAGCCGACTGAATCACCTAGGTGCCCCCCCAACATGCTTCTAAGTCCATGAAGCCATCCAGGTTTGTATTATACCACTTGAATTAAACACTTTTGGTACAAAGCAAATAACTTTGAATTAGGAAGATTTCTTCAAAATGTATATGGACATGTACTCTATCAAAGAACATCTAACGGTAAGAGGTTAGATAACCAAGACTTCCTTTTGCAATCCTCCACACATCCTTTGACCTCAGAAAATCACTCTACATCAAGAAAACTGTAGTAACAAAAGAGGAATCAGCAGGAAATGAAGGCAACAGACTTAAGGGAGGGCAGCTTTGTTGGGTGAAGACCTTTAACTGCAAGGTTTTTAATTACTGCAAAATCATACGTGAGAGAAATTTTCACTCACAGAGGTCCTCTTTAAAGTGTAAGAGCAGATTTTCAAAGCCATTTGTTTTCATGGTGCCTCATCAGCTCTTAAAAAACCCTTTTGAGTCACTATTTTATCTTACAAATGTTAAGTATTCTTTGTAGACAGGAACTGTCTGTTAAAGTAATATTTGACATCTAGTGAATCAAAAATACTTTACAATGAAAGACTGACATCTGTTTACTATATAAAAAAGAGTGCTGTGTATTTTTACTAGAAGGATTTTCCTTTAATAAGGCAGCCAAAAGTCATCTACACATACCAAACCCATTTACAGCCAAAACCTGTTGAATACCAACACAGCATCATGGGTGCTTAGCAATTCATTTCTTACCCCCTCCCCCACCCAACCCAACCCCAGTATTTCCCTGGTTTGGGATTGGATTTGTATAGGAAATATTTTATATATATATATATATATATTTTTTTTTTTTTTTTTTTGAGGAAAGGGTATAAATTAAAAGGTCTGGGTTAATTATTGACTTGGTGAGCTCCCATCTTTTCAGTGCTCTCAACTTTCACTCCATTACAGCGGAAGTAGACCTTCTTTATTTAAGGAGCGCAAAGGCAGCTGAGCTCTTTTTATATTTTTCAATGTATGTAGTAGCAAACAAAGTCTGTATGTTTGACCAATTGCATCTGAGATCTGTCTAAGTCACTACAATTAGGAAGAGATCAGACAGAAGGCAGTCAGCTCGGTAAAGAGTTTAAATCTGTGTGTAATCTCATACAGGTGCTGCTTCCTGTGCTCTGGAAAATCCCTCATCACAAAACAGGCCAACTGAGCCACACCTGGGTTTAAGCAGAACATCTGGACCTACTCTTTCCGACTCACTCATGTTCTTCAAATCTTCCCTAAACAAATGGCGCTTTAGCACAAGTCTGACACCAGAGATTTGTAAGCCCGATGTGCACTGCCAAATCCAGTTTGATACAAAACACAGCTACCCTTCTTGAATCAAATACATTACAGATATGATACCCCAGTCATATATTTCAATTAGTCAAGCCTCAAGTAATTTATGGAGGTCATTTCCACCAGTAGTAATAAATTTCATAACAGCATTAACAATTAAACAGGGAATTTGGGGGAAGGTTAGAATCCAACATCTATTAAATGCTCCAGCATTCATTGGTCATGTGCTCTTTGTTTGCTAGTCATACAACCACTGGCTGGGAAAGTCCTGAAAAGTAAAAGTGGATGTGGGTATAATTAATGGAATGCCAGCGGGTCTCAGTTTCCTTAAGAAAAACACACATACCTATTGAGCTCCTAAATGTCTGACTTTTACATACTGAAGCCTCTTAATTTTTAGATACACAATTCTGGGAGGGTTTTGTGACTGATTAATAACTATGTGTTCTGGGTATGCACCAGGGTTAGCGTCACGCTGGAATAATGGAATTTAAAAGTGATCCAGTGAACTATCAGCACAATATCAATGTAATTTGTGTGGCCTTACATGTGGCCTTTTAGTAAGTGTTTTATGTGGAATTTTGGCATTTCAGTTTAGGTGGATGCCAGGGAATAGGGGAATGGTTAGCATGAAGAATGAACAGTATGGAGTAGGTATGCCTTTCATGGCTCCTGTAAAATATGCAGGAATGATGGGGATTGTGTGATGCAGATCATGAATATTTGTGTACATTTGAGGGAACACATCGAAATATATCTTCCAGTATTAACATTTTGAATTGCTAACCAGTTCCCAATAGAAAATTTATTATACTTGCGAAGCTGTCCTGTTTTTTGTTTGAATTATTTGGATTCACTTGGTGCCTGTCAAGCTCATCATCTCTGCGAGAACTTGGGGATTGAGAGCAAGGGGAGATGGAGTGAGTGATGGAGAAAAAGGAGCATTAAGAGCACTTTTCACTCATAACCAACAGGTAATAAACCAGAATGCAGGCTCTGGAATGTTCAGAAAACAATCTCAACTCTAAAGGGGTATTGCTAGTCTAGCAGATAGCTCTGAAAAACCAAGGGATACCATCCCAAGAATCGAGAGTCTCCCCAGGGTATCCCTTGGATTTCAGGATAACTTGGGTCTGGTGCAGATGCTCCCAAAGAAGGGGTAGTGAGAAAGGCCTCCTGGATGAGTGGGTACATCTGCCTTGACTTGGCAGTGATGTGACTTGACAATGAACTGAACTTTAGTGCTTCTTGGTAATGTGGACTGGTCTTTCAAATAATGGAAGGTCTTGATTTTATTTTCCCAAAAGTTCCCTGCAGCATGGTTTGTTTTTGGTTGGGTGGAGGCAAGGTTATGGTCCTGAATGTGTGAACTAAATACCCATTCAGTTTGGAGAAATCTCAAGTTGTTTGTAAAAACTCAAGTGTTTGTAAAAACTTATTTTTCTTTCAAAGTAATTGGACCCATAATAGGTCCCCCCCACTCCGCCCTCCGCCCCCCGCCCCCTCCCTGCCGATCCTCATATTTTGTGATGGGAATGGAAAACACCTGTATCAAAGTTTAAGTTTTCTTGTGTCAATTTCTTGTATCTAGAAGTGAAGGACAATTAGAAACAGGAAGAATTGCAGACAGCTTGGGCAGTGGGAGAGAAGAACAAAAGTTTTTATAAAGAAAAAAAACAGAGCATGAGTTCTCACAAATGAAACCTGAAGTGTTCTGAAACATTGGCATAAAGATGGCCTTTATTGGGGCAACTGGGTGGCTCAGTGGGTTAAGCCTCTGCCTTCGGCTTAGGTCATGATCTCAGGGTCCTGGGATCAAGCCCCACATCGGGCTCTCTGCTCAGTGGGGAGCCTGCTTTCACCCACTCTCTCTGCCTACTGCTCTGCCTACTTGTGATCTCTCTCTCTGTCAAATAACTAAATAAAATAAAAAAAAAACCTTTAAAAAAAGATGGCCTTTATAAAATTCCCAAGAAATGTAAAGGGTTGGAAAAAGAAACTGATACCCAAATGATGCCCATTTTGGGGGAGATATGGCTCTCCAAGAGGAAGATGTGATGTATTATGGATATTGGATACCTGTCCTAAAATTGTGTGAGGGTCAAACCATTTTTGGCAGGGGGGAACAAAATCCAAACTGGATACCTAATGGAGAATCTGTGGGAACTTCCAGAGGTGTAAAGAAAGTCAGTGGAGTAACCCAGGTAATAAATAATGGGGACCCTGCATTGTCTGAGTAGGAGGAAAAGAGTTTTACGGAGGCAGAGATCATGGCAGGAAATATTTGATTTCCCAGCTCTAGCATAAGGCTTGGCACAGAGTAGATAATCAGTGTTTAAAAATGAGCACAGCTGAAAGGTGTAAAAATCAGCCAAAATGAGTAAGGATGAGAAAGTATTTTTAGGCGATAAGATAAGAACAGGAGATAGGGGATGATTTTCTGAATTAAAAAAAAAAACCCTGCAAAAGATAACACAAATTAGTCATTTTATGAATGAAATCTAGGTAGAAGATGTTAATCCTAAAAATCTTTCTTGGAAAAATATCCAAGTTTCAGATCATGTTTTCCAAACAAAACATACCCACATAAACCCAAGATAAAACTGGATGGCCCTGTCAAATAGTTCATGAACAAAAAGGCAGAGAAAAAGTGGAATGTCATTCAGATCTGTGATGGACAGCCACATTCCACAGAGTTCTGCTATCTCCAGAGTGGAGGGAGCCTAGCACACCTGCTGTCTCGCTGCTCAGTAGTATCTGGTTGATTTCCAGTTGGCTGAATACCTAAATTATTTTGGTAAATCTACCCAATGTTTCTTCCTGCACCTACTTTCTAAAAATGAGAAAAAAGTGATCTGAGACATATATACACATATATATATAGTATATATATATACATATATATATATGAAATGAGATTATATATGTGTATACACATATATATGATTTTTTTTCTTACATGAGATCCAAGTGAGAAATGCCCTCTTTCTTTTTTAATGACTGTCTATACCTCCAGGTGCTGTCAATAAAGAATTTAATAGATGGAAGAATCTGATTGGTTAAGAGACCTGAGGTTTGTGGAATTTTAGTGAAATACTTGGAAATATTTCACCATGGTCTTTGTTCAGGAGTCAAGGCAGGAAAAAGAGCCTGAATGGGAACACTAAGGAAATCTAGCGTTTACTGAAAAGACCAATCTAGAGGTGTTAGGATGACCACAACATTCAGGACTTCAGTCTTTATTCCTTCACAAGCTGTACAGAACGCTGCCTGGGAAACTTTTCCTCTCTGGCAGGGCTGGGGGAGGCTCACACCTGCAGGTTGGTTGAGGTGCTGCCTCTCG